ACAGAGTCCGGGATGGTCAAGCTTGCCAAAGAGCTGCAACGAGCAAACGCATAGTCTGCAATGTGGGTCACTGAGTCCGGGATGGTTACGGTCACCAAAGAGCTGCAACCTGCAAAGGCACTGTTCCCAATGTGAGTCACTGAGTTTGGAATGGTGCAGTGTGACAAAGAGCTGCAATCCTCAAAGGCCCCTTGCCCGATGTCGGTCACCGAGTTCGGGATGGTCAAGCTTGCCAAAGACTTGCAACTCCAAAAGGCATAATTCCCAATGTGGGTCACAGAGTCCGGGATGGTCAAATCAACCAAAGCACTGCATTCCTGCAAGGCACAGCTCCCAATTTGGGTCACTGAGTTTGGGATGGTCAAGATCGCCAAAGAGGTGCAACCCAAAAAGGCACCATCCCAAATTCGGGTCACTGAGTTTGGGATGGTTAAGCTTGCCAAAGAGCTGCAATTGGCAAACGCTCCCTCACCAATGTGTGTCACTGAGTTCGGGATGGTCAAGTTTGCCAATGAGCTGCAACCACGAAAGGCATCATTCCCAATGTGGGTCAGTGAGTTGGGGATGGTGAAGACAACCAAAGAGCTGCAACGAGCAAAGGCAAAATCAGCGATGTGGGTCACTGAGTTCGGGATGGTTATGGTCACCAAAGAGCGGCAACGAGCAAAGGCACGACGCCCGATGTGAGTCACAGAGTCCGGAATGGTCACTTTGGCCAATGTGAGGCAACCTTCAAAAGCCTTATCATCAATTTGTGTGTCATCATCTGGAATTTCGACCACGAGCAACAGTTCCGAATCAACACCAAGACTGGCGATCGCATCTTTGTTGGAGCAGATCACTGTCACTGTATTTGTTTTGAAGACAACACTCACAGCAGTATCTTCAGCAATGCCAGCATCCAATACCTTTGCATCATCGGCCAGCAAGTGGTCGCCTCCGACAATGATCTCCACGCTTGTAGTGCTGCGAGTAAGCTCGTCCCAAACCTGTCCCTCCTTGATCTGCTGCTTGAGTGCTCGGCCTGTCGTCTCTGGCGTGACTTCAAGAACCAGGGCTTCACCGCTCGGCTGCCGCACTGAAATGGTCTTCGCCATGTCTACAAAGACCTTGACACTGATGCTGATGCCTGCTATTAGTTTAATGTTTATCTTCTGCCTGTTTCCTTCACTGATGCAATATGGCACTGATGCAAAATCCTTCACTTGGCTTTGCAATTGGTAAAAACTGCGTTCTTGAAAAAAAAGATCTCTCTCATGATCGGGGTGACGGCAATTCGACTTCTTCAAAGACATCGAAAATGCTCGGACTCATTTTGAAAACCTATCCGAAATAGAGATGCCAAGATTTTGACCACTTGTTGGACAGTGGTTCTGGTCACGTTCCCTCACCTAGAATGATTTAGGGGCTTTGACACAAAATAGCCCAACGGGCGCCATACCCATCACGATGTCAAGAGAAGGTGCGAACCAAGAGCAAGAGCAAACTGCAAGAGAGGTCGGTGTCTTTGCAACATGCATCCCAATGGACTCTAGAGAATCTCTCTCTCTCTCTCTCCATAGCATGGGTGGTGGAATTCACAAAGAACAGCTCAGCACTGACGCTGTGAGGAACTCAACCTCCCCCACCAAACCATGGTAGGTAGACCTCCCTTATAGAGGAATCGGTTCATTTTTGGGGGTGCCGGGGTTTGACCCACAGCCATACATGAATGAAGATGGTATTGACTTGACGCCCCTTGATTCATGGCCCATGAGTCCTTTTCCTTGGGCAGGGAGGAATTCAAAACTGGCGCCTCTGGCGCCGGCATGCCATGCCCCTTCTTCAGTCACTCACCGCGGCAAGTGAAGAAGTATAGCTTGCGAAGCACTTAGCAATCGTTTCCTGACCAAAACCGTTATAGGACTTCCTCAACATACTTAAGACTCAAATCCCCAGCCTTTGAACCCCCTCTGAAGGTCACCCTTCCGCGCCCGGACCGCCCGGACCGACCCGCCTCCTCCACCGTCGTCGCACCTGCCGAGGCCGACCGACCGCTCCGCCGACCGCTCCGTGAGAGGTTCCGGGGGCGCGGGGGGTGGGGGTTGGCCAACCCGGTGGCGCGTTCCATTTCGAAGAGAACAGGGGTGGAAAAAGATGGCCAAATCCTGAGAGAAAGAGAGCAAAGGGTCACCTGGGCTGGAAGCGGAAGCCCCAGCGCGCTACTGATCTCCAGGCAGGACACCCCTTCAAAGGTCAAGTTGTGGAGGATGTTGAGGTTCAATATTCACTACATGTTTTCTTTTGAGGCTACACAACCTAACAAACACTTAAGCAAAGTCCATCGTGAACCAAACTGACATGCCACTTTTCAAGACCTCTTTTGTAAGCAGGTTGGAGGCCATCGCTCTTAGGTTGGAGGACATAGCTCTTATGTTGGAGGCCATGCCACTTCCCAAGACCTCCTTTTGGGGTGTTCTTAAATTAAAGACAGAGGCTATAAATAGAGGTGAGGAACGGAGTGTCCAAAAACCGGCGAAAAAGGCGAAAGGAAGGTCCTGGTCTACGGGGCCATTTTCTGGTGCCTGTTTTGCTTCCCCAACCCTTTACGCAACACATCCTCCCAATTTGTTTGTTTTCGCCCACCCTTTTTGTTCCACGGCTGTGAATGCATGTTCATACAGATTTCATCTCATCCTATAGCTGGCCTTTGCTGACAACGCCATTGCTGCGGACAAACCCAGCCCTTGAGAAACCACAGGCATGCGCATTCGTGACAGTGGCACTCTTTGGCGATGATTCGTTGGCAGCCCTGTAGCGTGCGCATTGAGAACTTGGTGTTGGAAGTGGGAACTCTCACGACTAAGGACGTGCAACCTTCAAAGGCATCATCCAAGATGTAGGTCACAGAGTCTGGGATGGTCAAACTTGCCAAGGAGGTGCAACCAGCAAAGGCACAAGACCCGATGTAGGTCACCGAGTCTGGGATGGTCACGTTCACCAGGGAGGTGCAATTCGAAAAGGCTTCGGGCTGAATGTTGTCCACAGAGTTCGGGATGGTCAAGTTCACCAAAGAGCTGCAACCTGCAAAGGTCAGTACCCCAATGCGGGTCACTGAGTTCGAGATGGTCAATGCCGCCAAGGAGGTGCAACCCAGAAAGGCACAATCCCCAATGTGGGTCACCGAGTCCGGGATAGTCACCTTCACCAAAGAGCTGCAACCGTGAAAGGCGCCATCTCCGATGTGGGTCACAGAGTCCGGGATGGTCAAGCTCAC